AATCGGTTCTGTTTAGAACAAAACCTGCAACCGAATCGACTCCATTCAATTTCCGAGTTGAAACAAAATCGGTGCTCACCCCTAATTTATACAGCGTAGCACATTTTTCATCTCCCAATAACTCAAAATGTCGTTTTCTTATTCCAGAGAGAAAAGCCTGCCACTTTCAAACTGTTGTCCGCGGTATCTCCCACTTTTTTTTTTGACGAGAACATAATCTCCATCCAGAAAACGAGGCAATATATTTTCGCATCACATGGATTTTACCACTTAAAAGAGCATCTTCCTTTCCGAATGACATGTATGCTAGAATTAGTTGAGAATCAAGACTTTCTTTAGTCAACAAAAATCCAAAACATATGGTTCAATGGAAAACCCCCAGGCAAACCCATGATAGTTCTCACTAGCGAATCGACATATACAATTGAGAATCCCCTTTCTCACGAAAGTGGTTATCTTTTCCCTAGATGGAGTATAAAGTTTATGATTCTTTCCCCCATGACATCAATACTATTCAAAGCCTTGCTTGCACAACAGCCTCGTGTACCTCGTATAGGCGAGATTGTTTGATCAGCCCTAAACCTAGCTATTATACCTATATCAATTCAGTCTTGAACTTTTCAATATCGCAAATTTAGTCCTAAAATTTTGCATGCAATTTCAACGTAGTCCTTCCGACCAATTCTCACGACGTGGTGGTGTGCAGCGTAGGACGGTCGACGATGAAAAATTGATCGGAAGGATTACATTGGAATTTCGCGCCAAAGTTGAGGACCAAATTGACAAAATCGAAAAATTTAGGACTGAATTTACATTTGTACGATATGTTTAGCACTGACCGGGTAAGTTTTCCGTCCTGTATGTATTTGTCCTCTCGTGCACCTAACTATTTAAAATTCTCGATTCCGATTTTTCTTACGGTCTCTTTCAATTAATCATTCTACATTTGAACACGCATGAACTTTTTCTTATCCCACGTTCGACCCGGTTGTCTTGAACATCATTTGCTTGTGGCAAGTGAGGAACCCTGTGGACACGTTTCATAACCTAATTCCAAATAGACTAAGCATCTAAGCCGATAAATCCTTAACAAGCCTTCCGCTTAGTCCATGATTCAAGCTGGATGGCCAACAAGAAAACCTTGGGAGCCTTGCCTCATTCGAAAAGACAATGCAAAACCATGACATCCACGTTGACAGCAAAGCTTGGGAATTGCCGCCATGCCGCTCCCCGAAACTGAAAAACCAATCCATCCTATTAAATTAGACCAGTCAAACGGGTGAGTCGGATCGGGTCGAAATTGATCCGATCCAAATTGACCCATTTTTATGCAATACAAGTTTGGTGACCCATACTTGACCCAATCCATATCTAATACGTATTCGACCTTACTCATATTGCTAAAATACTTTTTTGCTTAATTAAATCTGTGAAAATTCATACCCAAACTGAGGTGAAAGCATGAAGTGAGCGATGGTAATATCGTGAGAGAGTGAAGCTATCATAGAGGTGGGTTGGATTTATGTAAATTGTGAACTCATTTAACATTCATATTAAATTCATTTACGATCCATAGAGTTGGGTCCAAACTCATTTATGACTTATTTACTGAATATAACTAACAATTATAACAACTCAGCCTATTAAATATGAGTTAATAAATGGTTTCGTGACCCAGTTTGACATGTTTACTTGTAATGCATCGTATCATATGCATTTTCTCCATGATTTTTACACAAAACACAGCTACGCACATGAACACGGCTCGTGCGTAGAAATCTCTACAAGACGAGAGAAAATAAGAAAGAAAACGACGTACGTCACGACAGAAAAGTTGCTCGGCGCCTAACAAAAAATACCAAATCGAAACCAAGGTGAACAATTTTGGTTCTGTCTAGCAAGGAAAAAGAACGAAGGGGACACCTTTGTGTTGCATCAACAGCCCTAGAAGCATCGGATCCCCAGCTGATCTTTTAGTGAAAAAAGCAAGGACCTTTTCTTTCTTCAATTCAATTGAAAAGCCCCTTCGCCAATGAAGCCGTTCCGCATATGATCAATACACGTTCGGGTCCAACAGCGTTGCGATTCATTGGAATTTTGCTTTCAGAAAAGGAGCCAAAAAAAGAGGACAGTTAGGTCCAAAATTCGTGCATCTTCCCTTCTCTCCGGAGGATACAACTTGTCTTTTGGATGCACCCGTGGCTCCATTGGGATTTGGAACAACCTACGGAAGAACAAGAAGTAAACCAATATCATCTCCGATTCGTTCATCGTTTGGCATTCTTTTGATTCTTCGGCTTTATCGAAACACGCCTTTTTTTGAGAATGCCACACCCTTAGGTCTTCGGGGATGTGAACGAAAAATAAATGAAGCCGAGACGTACTTTGCAATCATGCCGACACAAAGCACCTTGTAAGGCTCCAAGGCTCCGTTTGTTACTAGAAAACGAATGATTTAGAAAATATTTTCTAAAAAATGATCTCTTATATTACTTACAAAAATGAATGAACGAAAAATATTTTCACCGTTCACGAAAATATTCAGACATAAATTATTGTCGAAGATATTTTTCATTGGCTAATTATTTCAAGCGATTCGAGTGATTCTTTGAAGGAAAATATTTTCCAAACTATTCATTTTCCACGAAATAAACGAAACCTAAATAAGAGGATTGATGATACCGCGTTTCTATTTCTTCTAACCCTCTTCCAATTAATCATCTGATATCAGTCCCCTGTCTGCCGTTGACCAATCCTTTCACTTTAGCTCGAACATGAGAGGAGTTTAGGGTTTTACTTTGCTTAAATCGGAGATGATCCTCACGCACGTTCTAGCTCATCCAGTCGATGATTAATTTGATTCTTCGGTTGGAAAAATTCGTAGCACGTTGGAAATACTCGCGCTTTCGACTTGATCATTGCATGAAAAACGAGAGTTATAAGACATAAATCTTTGGTCGGTTTCTAGAAGTTAAAGCTCTTAGAATAATCAATTCCGCACATTTTTCCTATATCCTTTTCCAGACGTGTTTCTCAAGCATTTTCAACTTTAGTTCGAAGTTGAAACCCAAAGTCAACTGAAACAACAAAATGGCAACAGTTGAAAGAGACAACACAGCATGAGAACAACATTAGGAGTTGTCTGCCGCTTCTGATTAACCTTTGGCATCCCTGATCCGGAAGATATTTAGAAATCTTTTAGGAATATTTAGGATATTTTCTCTGATTTTCTTTATCTTTTTAGATTATGCATATCAGATTTGATTTCATTTGATTTTCTCTATCTAAGCCTATAAATAGGCTTTCTATGTACTCCTTTCAATATATCGAAATATATACAATTTCTCACATTTCTTTCTTCCGCAATTCTTATATTTAACTCCTGAAAAACACGACAATTCCCTGAAAAGCACTTAGTTCGTGTTAGATTTTGATGCGACCATTATTAATTGTTTCAAAAGCTTAATTTGTTACATGAAGACGCGATTTAATATTTAAATATTTTATCACTTCCCCTCACGCTTAGTATGATATCTTTCCTTAGTACTAACGTGGACATAATTAACTGGTGAGGCAAATGTGATCTTGAAAGATTTGAACTCGCGACTTCTCGTGATAGAATGTCCAATCCAAAAATCTGAACCGTTAGATATAAATGTGATTTAATATTTAAATATTTTATCAATTGACATATTCTCATCGACAGTTCAATGATTTCAATTTTTTGGACACCTTTAGACGACACGTTCTAGATCGTCCCTCAATAATATTCTGGCACCGACGTTGAATCCCACGGAAAGAGGGCTGGCCGAAGATGACCAAGACAGACCGAAAGCAGCACAGCATGATGGTCCGTGAGTTGATGTGATTACCAGGGGCAAGTCGATCCAAAATGAGCCAAAGATTCCCATGTCGTCTCTCCTGTCGGCAAGGCGTCCATTCTCCCAAGTTGCACATTCACGTTTTCCCTCCTCCTTTCTTACGACCCCGTTTCCCGTTTTGGCAGAATGGCACAACCGTTTTGCGTTTTAGAAGGTCCATCGTCAACAGGTCAGTGCAGAAATGTCGAGCATTTGAAAGCTCAAGCGCACGATGAGCAGTCACAACAAGGAGGTGGTCATCCGACTCATCTCCTAGGACAATTCTACCTAAAACGATAAGGCTTGCTGGCCAACCGAGCAATCATTCGAGCAAGAACGTCATTTCCTTACCTAAATGACTGGTAGGCTTAAAAGTTGCGTGACTGTGAGCGAGTTCTGCCGAAGTCCCTAGCTCCATACGTGAAGATCCACCCTCTCTCGCTTTCTTCGTCCTCAAACCGGGGTCATTTCCTAATCCATGGCTGCGCTTATCTTGAAGAGTTTGATGAGCTGACAAGTTGATCGAGACTTAACCTTTTGAGAATAATGCGATGTCAATCTCGGTTTTTATCTTCGGTATAATCTCGAGACCCACGGGCAAAGAATTGGTTTTTCACGAGCCTATTAGCTTGACGACGAATGTTATGCCTTTGATCAGGTTGAAATGGTTCATGTAACACGGTTCGTAAATACCACTTGCAAAAGACATCGAAGCCCGACTCCGGCTTATGACCAGAAGTTTTATGAATCAAGGGATTGAGTTTCATCAAACACCCTTGCCAGCTCTACCAAGAGTTTCAAATCCGAATAGAGAAACCTCAATCATGTAACGACCCACATCATAAGGTCCCACCCCAAATGAAGGCATTACCCTTTCCACAAGAGTAGTCCTACACGACAGAAGCAAAGGCCATCCAAGCTCTGAACACCTCACTTTTCTCTGACAGGTGTTATGAATCAGAAGAAGACAGAAGCTTATTTTGGGATCGAAGGGAGTCACTTTCCCAACGTCCTGAACACATACTGATACAGTGCTCCAAAGCTGCAAGCAACGATGGCCACCCTACACAAGATATTGATAATATCCAAAGCCATCTTTATTTTCTTTTGGCTCAAATGATCCAAGAACTGTAGAACACACTCATTCACCACATTGGACACCTCGGCAAATTTCGGACCACTGAATATGCTTAGGTGGCCCACTTTTTCCAAGTTTCTCTCTCCGGAGTCCTGCGTCTCTATAACTTTGCCACGGTTCCAGAGCCCCATCACCTCCTCTTTTATAACCTCATTCCCCAAGCAAACTTTGATCAACTCTCCCTCTCTCTCTCTCTCTCTCTCTCTCTCTCTCTCTCTCTCTCTCTCAAGCATGGTAATGCTGCCTCCTCAACACTTCAGATTAAACTTACTCATCAGTCATCACGCTGCAAGTGTTTCTCATTTGTTTCCCTCCCTTTTCCTCTATTTAAGGTTTTGGTTGCGAGCAAAGGGGGTGGTGCCGATGAAGGGGAAGTAGTCAATTTTCGAGGGAAGCTGGCGGACAAGACGAAGACCGGAGGATGGCTCGCTGCCGGTCTAATCTTAGGTAATTAGTTTATTGTCACGGCTCTCCATAGCCCCGTCTAATTGTGTAAAAGCTTTCTAATACTATATGTACCTAAAGATAGGTGGTCTTGAGTAGTCAAACATTTATACTCAGCCTTCTTGACCATCTAAAAATCCAAAAAATTTGAAGACTGGCACCAATATTCCATGGATGCAGGAATAGAACTAGCGTTCTCGACCATCTAAAAATCCAAAAAAATTGAAGACCAGTACTAATGTTCCATGAATGTGTTTGGTGAATGCAGGAACAGAACTTTCAGAAAGAATTTGTGTAATGGGAATAGCAATGAACTTGGTTACATACTTGGTCGGTGATTTGCATCTACCTTCGGCGGCATCCGCCAACATAGTCACCAACTTCTTGGGCACTCTCAACCTTCTTGGTCTTCTTGGTGGCTTCTTGGCTGATGCTAAGCTGGGACGCTACTTGACAGTTTCCATATTTGCCTCCATAACTGCCGTGGTAAGTACTAAGAGCCAACTCATTCAGCTCCATATCTGAGCAAGCTCTTGTGACATATCCACATGCTAAGGCTGTCCATGGTGGTCCTCCCTTTTACACTGTACTATTTTCCCCGAAAAGAGAAAAAAGATTGGCAGGCTTTCTAGGAACCCGTCAGCATGCAGACACGCGTTAGATTGTACTTCCTTGTTTCACCTCCTTGGCCGCACGAGGGCCATATCATTAAAGAAAAAAGATGGACACGCAATCTCTCGATCATCTACCTTGAGTCTTTGAGATTAAGCGTTAGAAGGATTAACTTAGGCTTATCACATCCAGCTTTGCCGCTTAAGCTACTATACTTGTGAAGTTCAGAGTAAAAAAAGAGATTATGCGCTGAGATTTTACAGAAAATGTTGAGAGAAAGAAGCAGCAAAAAGAACTTGTAAAGAAAAATTTCTGAATCAACTAGAGTGTCCGATTGTGTTACATGATCAAAGATAAGAGCCTGCTCTTTGTCCCAGGATCAGCCTGTTCTGTGTCCCTAAAGATAGCTAACCGAAGCAGACTGGTCAAGAATAAACTAAAAATTAGAAACACCAAGTTCTTTCAATCTCTTCTAATGGCCTGTGCTAGATGAATTTCGTGATACCGGCGCAGAAATTTAACGGCAACTTGAATAAATTCAAGAGGAATCTCAACGGACTAGACATGTTTGCCTCAGAATCATTACCCTATCTCCGAGAATAGAGTATGTAACACTACTTTAAACAATTGATGAGGCTTTCTATTGCCTTTTCGCAGGGTGTGACTATGTTAACTCTGGCCACCTCCATAAGTGGCATGAGACCGCCTTCATGCAGTGACTACAGACAGCAACATCATCAGTGCATTGAGGCTAGTGGCAAGCAACTTGCTCTGCTCTATGCTGCGCTCTACACTATTGCGCTGGGCGGCGGCGGCATAAAGTCTAATGTCTCTGGTTTTGGGTCTGATCAGTTTGATGTCTCAGATCCCAAGGAAGAGAAGGCCATGATCTTTTTCTTCAACAGATTCTATTTCGGAATCAGCATTGGATCATTATTTGCCGTAATAGTGCTTGTGTACATACAAGACAATGTCGGAAGAGGATGGGGATACGGTATATCAGCAGGGACAATGGTAATTGCAGTCACCATATTGCTAAGCGGGACACCGTTTTATCGGTTCAGGAAGCCACAAGGAAGCCCTTTAACTGTCATTTGGAGGGTGTTTTTGTTGGCTTGGAAGAGAAGGACTTACACTTATCCTTCTCACCCAAGCCTTCTAAATCAGTTCCAGAATGCCAAGGTCCCACACACAGAGAAATTCAGGTACTTAATATTATAGAGCATCGACAGAATTCACGCATTTAACAATACTATAGAGACTTTTTCTTCCTATTCAATAAGCTAATAAGTAATAGTACATCACATGTCCAATGAATTCAGAGCTTGAGGTCAAAATTATCAGAGTACAAAAAATCATCTATGTGTTTGAGACATAATGTGTTCATAAAATCAATAGTATATCAAAAGAGGTTCATGTTTAGAATATAGGGAATCAATTCAAGAAGGGGATGAAAAAAGCAACAGCATGTGTTGCCAGCAGATTTTGCTTTTGTGCTATGAAGTATAGTGCACTTCTCAGTGTCACCGAGATGTTATAGCTCTGCTGCTCTATAAGCAGTAGTGTCTCAAATTTTTCAAAGAGATGATGGAACTTGTCATTAAAATTTTCCAATGTCCTTTAGGTGCCTTGATAAGGCGGCGATCCTAGATGAGAATGCTGGTACTAAGGAAAGCATGAACAACCCGTGGATAGTTTCTAATGTGACAGAAGTCGAAGAGGTAAAGCTAGTACTGAAGCTAATGCCAATATGGTCCACCTGCATCCTTTTCTGGACAATCTATTCCCAGATGACTACCTTCACAATTGAGCAAGCTACGATTATGCACAGAAATATTGGTTCTTTTGTCATCCCTTCTGGAACTTACTCTGCATTCCTCTTCATAACGATTCTCCTCTTTACTTCTCTCAATGAGAGGTTTTTTGTCCCCATGGCTCGAAGGCTCACCCGCACAACGCAAGGAATCACAAGTCTGCAGAGAATTGGGATGGGACTTATTCTGTCAATAGTTGCAATGGCAGCGGCAGCTATCATTGAAAAGGAGAGGAGGAACATCGCCGTTCAAGAAAGCAAAAAGATTAGTGCTTTTTGGTTAGTCCCACAGTTCTTCTTTGTGGGTGCCGGGGAAGCTTTTGTCTATGTCGGCCAACTCGAGTTTTTCATTAGAGAAGCACCAGACAGGATGAAGTCCATGAGCACAGGGCTTTTCTTAAGTGCCATTTCGATGGGATTCTTCCTGAGCAGCTTGTTGGTGTCTCTTGTAGACAAAGTAACAAATAATGGCTGGCTCAAAAGCGATTTGAATCAAGGGAAGTTAAACAACTTCTACTGGATGCTCGCAGTCTTAGCAGTGCTAAATTTCCTGGTTTTTCTGGTCTTCTCGACGAGGCACCAGTACAAAGTCCAGAATTATGCCAGAGACGATGACAACGACGATGAAGAGGAACTCAAGACTTCAAATGAGATGAAAGCCGACAGGAAGGAAAATGGGCTAATTGCTGAAGAGAAAGGAGAACTTCAGTTTGTGTGATCTTAGGGGCTCACAGGAATCGTTTTGCCCATTATACTTCACTTTCTTGAACTTGGAGGAATATCAAGAATTAGAGGGTTTAATCTGCTTGTCTTAGTAGAAGCATAGCTCAGGTCATCATGTAAAGATTATGCATCAGGAAATGTCCTGTAAATACCGCCTATCTCGGTTTTCAAGCATTTAAAATTAACAAACTTTGCTGCGGCGTGGATCTCTTGAATTTGATCGCATCAATAGCCAAAGATCTAAAGTTTTACACTAGAACACAAATTTCGGTCGATATCTTGAATCTCCATGACAGTGCTTCCGTTCTCTCATAGGAATGCTAGTCAAGCTTTGTATAAGAAAGTCACCGATTAGTGCACCAAAAGCCACATCAGAAGTGTGGAGCTAGAAGAAAGTCACAAAGCTTTGTATATATCTGTATTTTATCTATTTTGCTAATTATATCAGTTAGATACACATAGCTATATGTTCATAGAAGTTCATATACCGATTTCGATTTTTGCATATAAGGGATAGACGAGCCACAGTATTGCGATCCCCGCGAATTTGATTGCTCTAATCTTTTTCTCTTTGCCGTAGTTTGAAAGTCTTTAAATGCTGTACACTTTCTGGGAAAATCATGCAGCAGAGGAGACTTGAATGCATGAAGAAGGGTCATCCTTCAGCAGTTGCAGTTTGGCATAACTCTGAAATTGTCCCCTTTTAGCTTGGTTTTCTTCTTGGTGCCTCAAAACCGTTGCTCCACCCTGGCGTTCCATTTGTTGGAAAACGAACGAAAAAGAGAATTTGTGTGCCGACAAATCCATAAAAATGTCGGTACGAAAAGAGACCGCTAAATTGCTTATCCGACCATTCATTATTAAGTTACCAAATATCAAATTACCGACGTTTATTTGATTGTTCACAAAAAAGCCAACGGCTAAGATCAATCACAACGCGTTTGTTGAAACTACCAAGTTTATATTGAATAAATTACCCAACTTTTCAAATTACCGACTCTTCTCTTCTCGAAGCCGCTCACTAATTTTCATTTGACCGGTTTTTAGGTACGGACTTTTTTTAATAACTTGTCCGGTTCGTTGGGACCCACCGTTGATGGGAAACTTAACGGCATCATTTTGACAAGACGGGAGGGCGTGAAGGGTCATACCAATAAAGGCAGGCAATCCCCAAGCTGTAAAGCCAAAAAAAAAGTTTCTTGGAGAAATTTTATAATTGAATCACTTGCGCGATTGGTCAAATAAAAGTGCAAAAGCATCATGAGAATAAAGATATTTCTCACAAAAAAAACCAACTTTTTAAATTCCAAGAAAAGATCTAACCGAGGCAACGTTAGCTTCAACTAACAATCCTAGGAGCACAACTTGGCGTGCTCCCCCCAATCGAAACGTCCCTTTCCTTAAAGTCAATGCCGCAAATAGAATTTTCTAACACAACGCCAAGACATTTCAACGCTAAAACCAACACCAACACCCCCCCAAACCTTCTTGATCTTTGCTTCTTGAATACGCTTGTGCTCTGCATGTTTGTCTGATCTCTGCTGCAGGCGGTATCATGTCCTCGGCCGCCTCGTCCAATGGCCGCGCCGCCCCCGAAGAGGCGGTGCTCGGCCGCTGCGCCGCCCTGTACGGAGAAGTTCAGAGGAGCCGCCTCCACCGCTCCCTCCCACTCCCTTCCGTCCTCGGAAGATCCTTCCACGTCGTCGATGGCCCCCCGAGTTCCGCCGCTGGAGACCCAGGTGTGTGTACATGAATTGTGTACGTGTATGTGCGTGTATGCATCGTGCATGCTTGTGTATGACTGCTGAGAGTACTCTGTTTATGAACGAAATTTATGTTCATCGGACATATATTAGTAGAGTTTACTGGAGAGTGGTGGATGTGTTCGATCGAAAGGAGAAATCGAATATTCTTTTGGTAGACTCGTTACGTGGATGATGCGGCGATCGCATCGCATAAAATGATATGGCTAATTTTGATACCGGTTCTTCAAATGCGATCAGCTTGTTTCTAGCAGACTGGTGTAGATAAACATTTCTCGTTTGCAAGTGATCGCATGTAGCGTGCCTTAACAAGAAATATATCTCTATGCCTATGTCTGTGACAATACATAAAACGGTACACATTTGCTCGGATCAAAAGTACAAGAGCAAGACACCTCGAGAAAAGATGAAAAATTTCTTGGCAAGTTGTGTAAAGCTCGATCTTTTAGTATGCACAGGTTAATATAGTTGCAGTAAGAGGTATGATCAATTATTTCTGTAGCTAGTGGTGTGAAAGAGAATGAATTGTTTCTGTAGCAAGTTCCCTTAGTCGTCTTAATACACTCCATCAATCATAGCTTAAAGCCTGATCAGAGGCGTGCTGTCAGAAAATGCAAAGGCACTGTATGGTTTTTGGAACTGTGCTTGTCAAACCAGTTACTACATTGACTACAGTAGTGGATGCTTGCTCTCACTGCAGATGAGATAGCAAAACTTTTCCCTAATCTATTCGGGCAGCCATCGGCGAAGCTTGTGCCATCCCCTTCATCCACAGGTGCGACAAAGGATCAAAAAGCCTTGAAGATTGGAGTGGTTCTCTCCGGAGGACAGGCTCCGGGTGGACACAATGTGATTTCTGGAATTTTCGGTACAACTCATCCGGCAAAGCTTTTACTTTCATCTCGAAATTACTTGGATTGGTAATGATTGTGCTCTGCTTTTCTTTTCCTTTTTCGGGTCACTTAGATTACTTGCAGGAGCACACTAGTGGAAGTAAATTGTATGGATTCCGAGGCGGTCCAGCCGGGATTATGAAGTGCAAATATGTCGAGTTGTCGAGTGAATTTATTTATCCTTACAGAAACCAGGTAAAATGACATCTTTATCATTTTTTTTCCAAGTTGTTGATCGGGCAATGTGTACCAGACTATTAGCTCCAGGGTAAAAGCTGACAGAATTTGATCTCTCTGGACAGGGTGGCTTTGACATGCTTTGTAGTGGTAGAGACAAGATTGAGACTCCGGAGCAGGTTTTTTGCTAATTCCGCTCATTGATTTACCATATACAAACATATGAAAGTTAAGTGACCATAGATTGCCGACTTTTCTTTCGGATCTAGAGTAGTTAACTGGGAACTGCATTGGACTTTTGACTTTTCAGATTAAGCAAGCTGAAGAAACAGCGAAGAAGCTTGATTTGGATGGACTTTTGGTCATTGGAGGGGACGATTCCAACACAAACGCGTGCCTCCTTGCCGAGAACTTCAGGTAGGACTAGGATTCTGATTAATCTGTATGCAGTGACTATTGGGTCCGTAAACTTTGGATTTGAAGAGATTGTTCTGTAGCATAATCATTTTTCTCTTCCTTATCACAATCATGTGAGGACCCTTCAAAATTTTGTATCTTCATTTTTGTCAGAGAGAAAAACATGAAAACAAGAGTTATCGGATGCCCGAAGACCATAGATGGTGATCTGAAATGCAAGGAGGTTCCCACAAGTTTTGGATTTGACACAGCATGCAAGGTGATTATACTTGAATGACATTTTTGTCAGTACCATTTGTCATCTTTGCGTGACCAAACATATTCACATTAGTTGGAAATCCCATAGCAAATTAGAGTTTACATCTGGTCCTCGCTACTTTCTTCTCTAATTCATGCACAGTTGCAATAGGTACTATGACTGATGAGTTGTCCTCGTTTTGGCAGCGCAGATATATGCAGAACTTATAGGGAATGTGATGGTAGATTGTCGCTCGAGCGGGAAATACTACCACTGTAAGTAGCCTACTCATTTCAAATTCAGTACCACATGTCATAAAGGATTTGTATTGTCAAAGTTCGCAGTCGTACCAAATGATGAAATTGTAAGGCTTAGGGACATTGCAAGGTTATAATTGCCAACGGGGAGCTCATCACTCTGATGACCGTATAGTCCATTTTTACAGCTAGAGACTAGAGAGGAACCTGCCTTTAATTTGGAAGCAGTGAATGTTGATACAGAATTTGTATGTTCCTTTACATTGGCATATGTATGTGCTCTCTGCAGTTGTGAGGTTAATGGGCCGTGCGGCGTCTCACATTACGTTGGAGTGTGCTTTGCAGACTCATCCAAACATCACCATTGTCGGGGAAGAGGTACCTCTTTATTCGGTTAATTCCAAGCGGCACTGAACTGGGTAACTGTACTTGGGTAGGGTTTAAATTTTGGTGCACTAATCTTGATCATTTCACATAAGCATGAGCAATTTTGGAACATAGTGCATTAGCATGTATAACTGCTTTAACACTGCATAGGCAATATCTTTTGTTGGATAGAAGCATTATAAAGAGTGTAGGTAAAACTGGCGATCCATATTCGCCTCCTTGTCACGATGCTTCTATTGAAAATGAACATCTTTCTGTATTTTGTATTTTTCACGAACCGTGACCTAGTACTTTGGTCAATTTTTCCGTAATAAATGGCCAATATTTCACTGATCTAGTAGTTCTAATTTTCAGGTGGCTGCCAAGAAGCTGACACTGAAGAACGTCACGGATTATATTACCGATATAATCTGCAAACGCTCTGAGATTGGTTACAACTACGGAGTCGTACTTATACCAGAAGGCCTAATAGATTTTATTCCTGAAGTATGCTTCCAATCTATGTCCGCTTAAGGCGCCGCACTTTCTCTTTCTTTGCTCGTGTCTGTATCCCATATCATCGTGTGACCTTTATTAGGTGAATCTTCAGTCCACCTTATTGTCATCACCATATAACAGTTTGTTTGTTTCTGGTTAATTTCCAGGTTCAACAGCTTATTTCAGAGCTTAATGAGATACTAGCTCATGACGTCGTCGATGAACGGGGGATATGGAAAAAGAAACTCCAATGCCAATCTAAGGAACTTTTCGAGCTTTTACCCCAGGAAATTCAGAAACAATTGCTGCTGGAAAGAGATCCACATGGAAATGTTCAGGTGATCATTTTATTGCCATTGGATGCTTGCTCCCTGACAGTTAACACGATCAACGTTTACCTGACAATTTCGTGTCTCTACATATCCTTTGATTCGCATTTAGGTTGCAAAAATAGAGACAGAAAGGATGCTTATTGAGATGGTGGAAACTGAACTAGAGAAAAGGAGAAAGGAGGGTTCCTATGGTGGGAAATTCATTGGGCAGTCCCACTTTTTCGGGTAACCAGACATACTTCCTCAATTCATTCAAGCTCCGGTCTTTACCTTCAAACGTCATTTTGTTCAGTACATTTTGTGATTTACACAAACTTGAATGCGATAGTTGGTCTTAACTCTCTAGCTACGAGGGAAGATGCGGTTTGCCGACTGATTTCGACGCCAACTACTGTTATGCTCTGGGTCATGCTGCTGGAGCCCTCCTGCATTCAGGGAAGACGGGATTGATATGCTCGGTTCGTATTTCTGTGCCTGCTATTAATATCTAGTTTTTGAGTCTACTTATTCCCCAATCATAAGCATGAATACTTTTGAAGAACTGCACTAATGAGTCATCTACTCAAACTAAAATTGCAGGTGGCCAACTTGAGCGCTCCAGTCGATGAGTGGACAGTTGGTGGAACAGCATTGACCTCTCTAATGGGCGTAGAGCGAAGACACGGTATACGTTTGCTACATTCTCTCTGTCGAGCTTCAATATTCCGGGAAATCAATGTGCTAAGCAGGGACAGCACAGATTAGAGCACAAGCTTACGACATTAGATTGAACATATCAGAAACTTCTAGGGTATGGTTTGCTGCGCAATTATGATCTAAGCACTATTTGTCTTCCAGGGAAGTTCAAGCCTGTCATTAAGAAGGCATTGGTGGAGCTTGAAGGTAAAGCCGCTAGCGGTTTCAATTTTAACAGTTCACTTTTTCAGCGAATGTCTAGTAATCTGCAGTACGCGGCTACAAAACATTAATGCAATCGTCCTGCTACGAAATGCAGGCGCGCCATTTAAGAAATTCGCGTCCTTGCGTGATGGGTGGGCCTTGAAGAATCGATATGTCAATCCGGGTACGTTGAAATGTGGCCATCCAAATTATATGTAGCCAGACTCGTTGAGGGACTGCAGATATGAATGGCGAATCGATTTCTCTTTGGTCTCACTTGAGTAAACTGTGAATTTTGTGGAATTCATGCCATCTCAGAACCAATAAACGTAACCTTAGCAGGTCGAAAATAGAATCTTTTCGCCACACAACTCGAAACTTTCAGTCCCCTCACCTGTAAAACTGTCTTCCTTTCTTCTTTTTTCCACAATCCAGGTCCTATCCAATTCGTTGGACCAACAGCAAAAGCTGTGAATCACACATTGATGCTGGAGCTTGGAATGGAGAACTAGGAGGGGTCACTGATTTTTGGCTAACACGGACCGACTCCAGTGGCCAAGTAATAACAACTCAAAGAGGAAGCAAGCCTACCCCATTTTCACCTACTTCATAAGAGACCTCTCCAGATGGAGAAGCCAGAGGAATTGTTTAAGAGTGACATTGAACTCATGCACAATACTCCATTTTCAATTTTCCACCACAGGGTTGTGCTTGATCCTTCATATGTACAATGCTGAATCGAGGCTGACAAACAGCGATGTGCGAGTTATATCGATGTTTTTATACAAACTCTTCGTTATATTATTGGACAGAAAACGACGATCTCGTCGTTTCTCGCCCAAGAGTAAACTCTAGTATGTAAATGTTCCATAGTTATCGAACGGGTCTCGAAATTATTCAACGTACATTGCATTAATTAGCTTTCATGAAAGATGGTCTTGACTTTGTTATGTTGCATCCCCATTAATCAACTTTTTTTTTAAAGCCTGGCTTTGACTTTCGGCACCGTCCAGAAGTATCGCCATATGGTTCTTCTCCCTCTTCTTTAACCCCGACGGAGACGCATTGAAGAAGCATCGCTGCCTAGTCAGGCTCTTCTGCAGGTCGTCAAAAGATACGGAAATGGTTGGTGATCGATGACGTGGCACCCACCCTGTGTTCAAGAAAAGAAGAAAGAAACTCTCTCTCTCTGAGCTGAAGCTCACTTTCTTCTTCGTCTTCTTCTTCTTCTTCTTCAGTGGCTGGCTAGGGTTTCTGGGTTTCCTTTCTCCGCCCTAAAACCTCGCCGCCTGAATCCCGCAGCTTCGTCGGCGTCTTCTCCGGCGCGTTCCGTCGCCGAAAGTCCCTTCCTTTCCTGCGAAATTCGCGACTTCCCGCGCCAAGCTCGAGTTTTTCCTTTTGTTGGCCGAGCTCGTTCATGGCCAAGACGAAACCCGGAAGGAAGGACCTCGACTCGTACACCATCAAGGGCACCCACAAAGTCGTCCGACGTAAGGCATCTCCTTCTCTGTCGCCCTCGCTATTGCTTGTCTTCCCTCCTCTTTAATTGCTTCTTACGAGGAACAGATTGCGCAAATTCATTGCGAATGTAAGACCCTTTGTCTTGATTTGAGTCGGTCTGGTAGCTTTAGTGTGTCCCAGATAGCTATGCGGTATGCTCCGTCTCTGTTGAGGTGGCCATGGTTTGGGTGAGGGGAAAAGTTGAGTTTTTGTTTGCTTTTGTCGCCGTTTCCGCAGCTGGTGATAGCGTGCTGATGCGCCCGTCGGAGTCCGATAAGCCCCCTTATGTGGCGCGGGTGGAGAAAATCGAAGCCGATCATCGGAACAATGTTAAGGTTCACGTGCGGTGGTATTATCGACCGGAGGAGTCGGCGGGAGGGCGCAGGCAGTTCCACGGGGCGAAGGAGCTCTTTCTTTCCGATCACTATGATGTGCAGAGCGCGCACACCATAGAAGGGAAGTGCGTCGTGCACACGTTCAAGAACTACACGAAGCTCGAGAATGTTGAGGCTGAGGATTACTTCTATAGGTTCGAGTACAAGGCCGCAACTGGTGGGTTCACGCCAGACGGGGTGGCCGTGTAAGTTCTGTTATTTGATTGGATCATGTCAACTCTCGATGGGATTAGTGCTTCTTGGAGATGTCTCTTCTTACTTCTTGGTGTTTTTTATGCTTTTGTACTCGGCATTACTGGGGTTCCAATTTGAATGGTTGTTCTCGGTTTCTCATATTTCAGGTATTGCAAGTGCGAAATGCCTTATAATCCCGATGACCTAATGGTTCAATGTGAGGAATGCAAGGACTGGTAAAATCTGAAGCAGCTGCTATTCTCTTTAATGGAATTCATAAGTTGTTGCAATCCATGCTGATGGAAGTTTATTTGGGTTTGACCAGATATGAGTCTGTCATTCATATTTCAAAATTATCGGAACTACATATACATTGAGTTGCATGCTATTAGTTTCCAAAGCACATTAGCACATTTTAATATGCTGGTTGTTCCTATCCTTTCGTATGGTCCTTCTTTCCTTGAGGGTCAATCCTTTGTCCTCACTGTGTTTGTTTGGAAGAATTTGATCCCCCCTCTTTCTGTTGGTCGAAAATTGATCCACTTTTATGGTTATCTTTTATTGCAGGTTTCATCCTTCGTGTATGGGGATGACAATTGAAGATGCAAAGACGTTGGATCGGTTCTTGTGTTCTGACTGCTCACCTGATGATCATGCCAACCGATCCTTAAATCACTTTCCTGTATCACCATCTATTGAAACTAAGGTCTCCCCCTCCCCCTTCCCCTTCTCGCGTCATGCACAGGCAAGTGCACGTGAGAATGATGTATGATGAATTTTGATGCCATTTCAAGTGCCATGTGACTATTCATGCTTACAGATTTAGGAATTTTCAGCATTGTGCATAGTTCCTCATCCATGAATTAGGCATGCAATTCTCATCAGGATAATGTCTGATTCCCATAAACTGAGATATTTGCACTCATAAAAGAAGATAATGTTGACTCTTAATAGAGGACGCGTAATTCTGGTACTTCAAACTATCGGATGGAAGTACTGAACTAGTTTATGCTGAAATCTCTCAACCCTCTTGTAATGTTGGAAGCCTTCAGAATTCCCTGTATTTCCCATCTTGACTGTTCAAACCATGAGCTTTGAAAATTGGCTAACTTACAATTACATTCTCAAATATAGGTTACCGTTTCCAAAGTCGCTTATGTTCTTTAGTATGGTCGTGCTAGTTTCACAATGACACATATGATGGACTTATAAACTTATATATTAAGATCGTGAATCATGATGAGATTTATCAATGCATCGACAGTGATGCGAGTCCTTGTTGCAAGCTGAGCTACTTTCTGGGGTTTTTTCTTATGCTAAATGATTCTGCAATTAGCGTTACCAGGAACCTTTTTTCCTTTTCACTTGGTCGTTTTTTGTATGATGTTGCCCTTGTTGTGTCGGTAAGATATATTTCTTTTCCCCTTTTATTTACATCTTGTTCGTTTAATTATGGCAGGTGGAGCCTAAGCGACGGAAGAGATGACAAATTGACCACGTTGTGAACGGTTAATGGACACCTAGTTTCTTGTCAACAAGCTTCAGTGGTGTTTGTTATGAAACTGTACAGTGCAGAGAAGAAGACCGTGCTCGCACAAAGTTGAGCCTTTTCATGGTGTCAGATATCTCCGTGTGTGCTAGACTTAGGATGTGTCCGTTTCATGTTTTGCCTCTACGTGTGGCCTGAAAAACGGGTTCATCCTTCTTTAGAGCCAATATGTATTTATGCTGAAGTCGGATGACTCTTGATTATCTTATGTTAGATTCAGTTTGTTTTTCCTGGGCCAAAGAGTCAGTTGTATTCGCTGTGCTCATTTAGGTTTCTTTTGCTCGAACAAGGTTATAACGGGGCGAAAGGGGAATAGTGATAGTTATCATAAGAAGTTTGCCTGGAGGCGATTGATACTGGTCTGATGGTGGTCAACGGTTATCTCGATAGATAAGAAGCACTCAAAACTCCCCTGCTTTTCGTCTCTTTAATCGGGGATGGTCCTCTTATATTTTGTACTTCTGAAGTCGCTTTGCCTGCCCAGACACTTACAGGAAAGCTAACAAGCTACTTCACTTGACTAGCAGCAATTACTCGCCACCCATGACCTATTTCCCTTTGACTTTGAAGCATTCTCTTACTATAATTTGCTCTGTTCTTGTTTCTCAGAAGGGCATGTCTGAAACTTGATCGTGTTTTTCCTCTTTAGCAGCTCTGCGATAGTAATTGACGAGCCATGGAATTTCTGATGTGTGTGATCTATTTTACTTGCATGAGTAGCAAAATCTGATGAAAATGAAAAAGATTGGGTTCTTCATGTTTTATGCTGATCAATGCCTGCATGCTGGAGCAACAGATAGATGTGTCAACTCCGAACCGTTATGTTACGTTTTGAACCTCCCAAAAATTATCAGGCGCATAATTACGCATCCCCTTTTCTGATGTGGTATAAAATCTCCAAAGCTCTTATCACTATAAGAACCAGCACCCTGAATTAGAATAACATGGGTGTGCACAATAAGCCAACTGGTAACAAACGTTTTAGACCTTATTCGCTCAAAAACCCAAGCACTAACTAAAACTGATCCTTCAACCAAAAAAAAAAAAAAAAACTAAAACCGATCCATCATGCCATAGGACTTCCGAGTTGCAACCTACCAAGAACAGACAGTAAATTGAAAGCAGTCGTGCCGGATAGAAGGACCAGTTTGTCAGTAGAAGCCATGAGATAGCACTAATCATCACCATATGCTCGGAAACTATACCGCTCTTGGTACGGTCCATTGAAGTAGAGGTCAGCCTCAAACCACTTTGGATAACGAACGAGGTCACCCGCCAAGAATTGCATGTAATGTTGGCTCCCCTCGGGCACGACCCTGACTTCCCCTTCCTCCACGTACACCAGCTGATCCACTTGCCAGTCCCAAGGCAAGCGGCACTTGCCTGTTTTCCACACTGACCATCTCGAAACGCCGAGCTCCTTGAGCCGCTCCTTCGACACTTTCCTCTCCACCCTCACATTGTACAGTTCCTCCAGAGGTTTCTCTATCCGCATTGCCCTTATCCCACGACCTCTCCTGAGGGCCTGACAACATTTCTCGCGGTCTCTGGTGCTTGCTCTCTGAAAGGAAGAGCCGAAAGCCGAAGTCATGGTGATGCTCGCCATTTGTATATATGGAAAATCTCTCCTTATGAAGCTCACCTGACAGAAAGTGAGGTCATGTAGATGTAATATTGATAAATGACATAAAGCAAAGCTTGTAAATGTAGCTTCTTATCCAGCAATGGTGTATGGTACACAAGTTCAGGCACAAAATCCGCAAACAACCACAAAAGAACAATACAAAACTCTGTGCTGTTCATCAAAGTTATCAGAAACCGGAACGCCCCAGATGAAGCATTCCATCACGATGTTCGCATTTCGCATTTCATTCTCATGTTTCGATGGCATCAGATTTAAGCCCCATATCTATCCGGAAACTTCGGCGCATTCCTCTTAACTTCCGCGAAAATCAGCTGTCACATAAATTCATCAAACACGAGAGAATCGCGTCAACAAGGAATCACGAGCTCGGCCAGATTACCTCAGATTGGACACAAAAAGGGCGAGAGAGATTCACCGCCAGATTCAAGCAGACATTTTCACAAACAACTGGAAGGCATCCCAAGTTCTCGCCACTTTACCAAAAAAACAGCTCAAGAAACGATCTTTACAGTCACCAGACATGAGCTTCTTCTCTATTCAACACATTTCAAAGCCTAAGAAGACAAAAATCAATCAATCCCATGTTCTTGATTTTTTTCCTTTTACCTGTCTGAACAATCTTCAAAGGAGATCCTGAGCCTGGCTTCAATTTGGCCGGAGCTAAGCTTAAGGTGCGAAAAACCCTGGACGAAGCAAGAGAGGGTTTACGACATTTCCTTATCCAAATCCAATCATCCTCACTCCGCAATAAACCAGATTTGGGCCGAACTCACATCTCATGGGCCGTTTCATTGTCGGCCCAAATCTCACTTCTGGCTTGCAAATGCTAATTTTGAGCCGAGGATCCTCAAAACTTTCAATTTAGGTAGGGAGTCCTTTTAACTTGTATGAGTTGTGTCGATCAAATCATTTAGTCATAAACTCGATTAGTTACGCTAACCTGACGTTTGATGTGACGATTCTTACATGAAGACCGAAAGCAAATAGAAATTTATAAAGACCGGGTTTGACGGAATAAATCGCTTTATGCTTATGTTGCAAGCTGACGTTGTACCACTGATCCATCTGGCTATCTGTGAATTGTGTATTGATTTTCAATCGGCTTTACCTTTGAACCTCAAAAGAAAATCTCATGTCAAATTGATTAACTTCTTTGCGTGTATGTCATGTGGTCATGAGATATGACCGCAACGCAAAATAAATTCCCGTTAAATTGTGATTGCCTAAGGGTGCGTTTGGGAAGTGAGTCCCAAAGTGTTTTGGTCCTTAGGCAAACTGTTACAGTGCTTGGAAAACAGTCACCAAGGGTCGACGAATGACAATAGGGATGATCAGTTCCCGAATGAGTTGGTCTCTGACCTAGAACTGGGAACCAGCCTAAAGTATAGCTATCTCCAATTAAATTTCCTTTTCTTCTTTAAGTGATTTATTGATTTGTTTAGAAAAATTCAAAAAAAAAAAAGATATCTCGCATGCTTCTTTCTTTGATTCGTCGTGGAACTTTGCAAAAACATTTCCCTAGGCAAGTGTGCAGAGAGGGAACTGAAACACGCTTTAGGGAAATGTTTTTGTGGGTGTGCATTTTGCTTTTGTTATTAAAACACCCTCACCTCTTTCTTTACTCTCTCTCATCTGCATCGAGCACTTAATGTTTCCTCCATTGACTAGCCTCTTTCATATCTCTCTCTCTCTCTCTCTCTCTCTCTCTCTCTCTCTCTCTCAGTTTCCACACAATGAGCTCTACTTTCGTCTAGCTTCGCTGTGGTGGTGGCTGCACGAGAGAGGGGGAAAAAGTATCAAAAAAATCATAAACTTATTACATTAGTACAAATTCAGTTCTAAACTTTTCGATTGGACCAATTTAGTCATAAATCTTTTTCACATTGATACCAATTCAGTCCATCCGACCAATTTAGGCCGAAAATTGCTGATGTGGACACCGACCGTCCTACGTGGCACGACCAGGGCTGACGTTGGCATTTTAAAATAACTTTTCGAATTTTTTATTTTTTTCTTCTCTTTCTATTTTTATTTCCTTTTTTTCTTCTTTCCTTCCTCTTCCCTCCGCTAGTCGCCAATCTCCACGGTGACCAATGGAAGCCGCTGGCGATCGGTGGGGGCGAGGGCCGGGATGCCCTTGTCGGCCATATGGGGGCCCGGCCCTCGCCATATTCGGCAAGGGGATCCTCACCCAGCCCTCGGCAGAGGCCGAGAGCCCCTCGCCGTCACCAGAGGCCGGCCAGGGGCCTCACTGGCCTCTGGCGACGGTGAGGGTGTTTGGGCGAGGGGGCCCTCGTCCAGCGCACATCAAAGGCTTGCGAAGGCCGGCGAGGGGTGGCCTCATCCAGCCCTTACAGGCCCTCGCCAAGGGCCGGCCTCCCCTGTGGTCGGCGAGGGCGTCCCCGCCCTCGCCCTCGTTGGCCTATGCCGGTCACCGTGGAGACTAGTGACTGACGAAGGGAAGAGGAAGGAAAGAAAAAAAGAAAAGAAAGAAAAGAGAAAATAAAAAGAAAAGGGAAAATAAAAGAAAAAATTAATAAAAAATTGAAAAATTATTTAAAAAAATATCCACGTCAGTATCGGTCGTGCCACGTAGGACGGTCAGCGTCAACGTTAGCGATTTCCGGCCTAAATTGGCCAGACGGACTGAATTGGTATCAATGTGAAAAAGTTTATGACTAAATTGATACAAATGTAATAGGTTTATGACTTTTTTAATATTTTTCCCGGAGAGAGGGAGGTGAGAGACTAAGGTCTAAATATGAGAGAGAGAGAGAGAGAGAGAGAGAGAGAGCCCTACTATTACTTTCGGGTTGCCTCTAGGCCAATTCCTTCGGCTCGGTCCGCAGGTTTGATTCTGCATAAGAAATAGGGAACTAGACAGGTCATTTCCAGTTCATGTGGAAACCATTCAGAACCAGCTTGTTCGATCCATTTCCCTATTCAACCCCCAACATTGCGGGTTGGTTAGGCCAAATTTGGAGATTCGATGCAAGAATTGGAGAATCAAGTGTCACCGACAATCGTGCGATGCCGGCCGACAATCGCATGATGCTCGTGCTCAATTTCAGGCCCTAATTGATGGAGTTAAGTGAGCCCTAGTCAAGTGTAGCCAAATTCGAGACTTGAGGCTCATTGTCCTCAACATATGTGACATGCTTGAGGTCGCACGACCTTGGCAGCCGATTGCCTGGGGTCCCGCGACTTCGGTGACGCTTGGCCTAGGGTTGCATGACCTCCGTGATGGCCGTGGGCGGGCCTTCCCACTTAGCTTGCGTTAAGTCACTGTCGTAATTTTTGCTTTTTCTTTCTTTTCAAAACAAAGTCCTTCATGTAATAGTGTCTACCAAACACTATTTGCATTTCATGAAAGCCCTTAGCCTAAATGTATTTGCATTTCATCAAAACCCCTTAACCCAAAGTCCTTTAAATATATACAAAGACATTTTTCAAAACTATCCTAAATGCACCCTAAGTGTAGCTATCCAATTACCTTTGGAAGTAGGGACGAACGGTTCTAAAATGTGTTAGTCTCCTGCCTAGAACGTGGAACGGACCCTATATGTCCTAGTTTGAAAAAAGTGGGACCGAGAATAGAATTGGCTGGTTCCCAATGTTCTCGGTTCCACTAGGGAATCGGCCACTTTTTTTTTTTCAAGTTAAAATTTAAAAGTTTATTATAAAGTATAAATCATCCATTTTCCAAACAAGAATATTGATCTTGACCAAATGATTATCGAAGCGTTTATTCATAGTGCATAACATAGTTTAAATCTTGACGAATGCAAGACTGTTTTATTCCTAACAAAATGGTGTGGAACCGGTTCTTTCCTTGTAGAATTGGCGGTTCCGGCCTTGAAAAGGGAACCGAGCCGGCTCTCCCTTGAACCGGCTCGAAAACGGAATCGGAGCTGATGTCGACCCCTCATTGGAAGGTCACCACGTGAGTGACCTTAAGCACGCGTGACAAGTATTGGCCGTGGAATTGATGACACCGGGACGTACTTTCAACTACGAAATCATTGGTTCAACTCCGTTGAACTACTACATGCGCACGCACTTGCGGGTGTTTGTGGGCTTTACATGTACGTTCACTTTGATGCACCACCATGTAATGGTCCTAGGAAGTGGTTGCGTCTGAAATCCGTTTAACATTAAGTCATATCTAACCAAACCGCATTCTAGAACTTGGGCATGCTCACCTCGAGTTTGTTCTTCTCACAAAAATAAAGTACGTATCTCAATACCCAGTGACATCGTGATTGATGCAACGTGCCACATAATTCATAATATAATTCTATACGATATTTTCTTTGAATGTTATACTGTCCTCTTCGTCGTTGTTTTCTCTACCATTATGGCAAGAGAAGGGCTTCAAGCTTGGGACGTAGGTTTGCTTCATAACGAGCCTCCTAATTTTGAGAAGGATACAAATCTATTTTTTAGCTTACACTTAAGGGAAAGATACTTTTATGTGATCATATGAGCTCCCAATTAGGTGTCACGCTAACTAAACATGTTATAGTTGAATTAACAAAATTGTATACTAAAGTTTCGAGCTTAATTTTCCATCACAATAAGTTAATCGCGTCATAATTTTATTTGTTAAGAGCATTAAAGAATTTCCTATATTAGGACATCGATCACATATTTAAGCTTAATGTCTTGCATGTGTTTTATGCCTCGCAATGATGAAGTACTATGATTTACTCGTTTTCGAGCTGATTAAAACCCAAAGGAGACCTTAGTATAAAGCAACAAGTTTGCCACTCATTAATAAAATCTTTTTTTTTTAATTTTCCAATGTCTGAAAAATGACTGCTGACTACATAATTGATTAGTGATTCGAAATATGACTTGTAACTGAAAAAAGAAAAGAAAAGAAAAAGATAAGAGAAACGCCTTTCACCGCCATTGGGTCTCTTCTTTCATTTTCCAGGCATTTACTTAGTGGGGGATCTCTTGAGCTAATCGGACCCAATCAGAGGCAAACATACATTCTCAATAATGAAACTTATTAATTGCATGGCGATGGGTAGTTGCATGAATTCAAAGTGTATTTACACGAAGTTGCAGGCATTCACTCTGCCCTCCTCGTCCTCTTCCCAGCTAACATCGCTGCAAACTTAGCCTAATAAAAGCAATGATGATAGCGACATCTCACGATAATACACCGCAAACGATGATGTCAATATATCTCCCAATGAAACAAGAAAGGAAGACGAAAAGAAAAAAGGAGCACCCTAGATTTTCTCAGCAAACTAGCATGTAGAAAAGTGAGTTTTGGCAGCTTCAGTGCATCTCGAGATGGTGAGTTCTTTCACTTCCGGATCTTGGATGCCCAAGAGTTGTCTATCTTGAACTAGGGTTCCTCGCCAGTAGCAAAAATCTTAAGTAATTCAAACAGTGATGAACTATGCTTCAAATAATAGATACAGATACAGATAAATCTCTTCACCGCTTTCTGTACAGAAATCTCTATAATTGAATGTAACAGGTGTCTATCTCAAGATCTGTGTAGCCAGTTCAGAGGATAAGGACACAAACCACAAACTGGGGTTCTCTCTGTAAAACCCCAAGTGTAAATTAATGTATACATATAGACAGTGGTATATGGAAGAGACCTCTTGGCTTTGAAGCTTTGGAAGCTATCTCTTGTTGTGAAGAGGGTTCGGTCCGGTCGGCACCTTCCGCTTCTCCGAACTCAAATCCGGGCTCGCTTGGCCTGCGAACGGAGAGACCGCACC